TTCGCGCCTCGGATGCTTGGGCTGCGATTCCATCGCTGGTCGCGCTGCCGTTCCGCAAGTGTACCTGTGCTTGCGGGTCTGCGTGTGTGACATCGAGGAGTATTCCTTTGTTGCGGTACCCCGGAGAAGATGCGTTCGTGAGGGCTCCTGGCCTGATGACGATGTCCATGCTCAGGTTTCTTTCCCCCGTGAACGGTGCCCCGCTTTCAACGTCGTGTTTGACGCGAAGGCCGCCCCATTCTGCTCTTCCTCTGTTTTCCCCCTATTAATGCCAAACAGACATAGGCGGCCCGGACACGAAGTTGCACCCCTTCCTGTGTGCCTCTCTTCGAACCATGGGCGGCATCCTCAAAAGGTGAGGGATTTCTTCACAGAGTATAAAAAATTACTGGCTGGCATGGAAAAATCTCAAGGTAGACTATCTCGTTCAATATTTCATCTACACACTACGCAGCTCATGACGTAGGGATGACTCTCTGTGAACTGGCCTTTGGAATCACATTGACATGCATACATACATGTGTTTGGAATCATCAAGGTTTTGTATCATCATGGTGGGCGGCCTGCTCACCCAGTCTATTGATCACAGGAGGCGCAAATATATTACCCCGCGTGCAACTGCGTGCAAAGGCAATCCGTGTTACATGTAGCCAAGAGACTTGTTTCACCACGGTAGGGTAGTACGTAAAATCTTTGAGACTGAGGATGTCTTCTCTTCTCGCGCCCCTGCCTTCCACTGGACAAACCCACGATGAGTAAAGTAGGGCTAAAGACCAATGAATCCAAGTTCGACACAAAATATGGATGTATATAGATAGGGGATCTCTCCCCTGACAACATGTTGACATATATTATATTGATTGAGCGTAGTCTACAGCCGATATTTTCTTTCTCCCTACAGCAGTACCCGCTACGCTGTTTTTGAGAAACAACCCGGATTAAGAGAAGAGTCAAACTGGCTTGTCACGGCCATGAGAAAGTACAAATATTTACAGTACAGTTTTTAATGGAAAACCGGGTTTGAGAGAAGGAGATTGGCTTGTCACCGCCCTCTCTTACACCGTAGCCGGCACTGCTGTACCGTAAGAGATAACGCCGGTTAGGACAGCACATTCTGAGACCGCCCACCACCCACCCTACCTACTTCATTTGTTCAAATTTATGCCATACACCTAAGAGCTAGCTGACTTTACTCTATCTCAACTAGAGCCACGACTCTATCGCGACTAGAGCCACGACATATTGAGAGAAGATTATTTCCTACTACAGATGTATACTGACGTTTTGTGTTTTTGTGGTTGTGACGGCAGGAGCAGGAAGAATCGCTTCCATTGTTACACGGGAATTTTGGAGGCGGCTTTTGTGCTGCCTCGCGAGGAGTGAGTACACATCGTGTAGCCTATGGCTGTTAAGGGTGGCGGGGGACACCGCGCGCCGCCGCTGGATTTGAAGCAGCCGCAGAAAACACAGAAAAAGAAAGGCGCGGTGCGTGGGGGTCGAAAATGTCCAGCCTTTTGTGTGAGTCGATAGATACTATTCGACCAGTCAGCGAACTACGGATGGATCAGCTAGCTGCTGGGATCAGTTGAAAAAAAAGTCAATCTCGTGTTGAACCTTCCTCTGGCGTTTCTTTTCATTTTTTGTGCCTCTCGGCGGATCGAGACGGACGTATCACCCTGAAGTCTCTCTCATACAAACTGCGTGCCAGAGTACAACATGCTGTATTTTGAAAGGACGACGGGCAGTCAAAGCAAGGATAATGGGCGAGAGGCAACATAGAAACATCAGCATTCTCCGCCCGGCCTTGCAGTCTAGATTTAGATGGATATAAATGAAAAGCAATCTTCCATCCCCAAACATAATAAGACGACACGCGGAGATCGGTCGGTCGGAGGATCCATCTCTATCCCCGTTCGTAGTCAGCCAGGAAGATGATTTTGCAGAAAGATCATCATCAGAAAATGACGGTTTTCCCAGGATTCCAGCAGGACAGGGTGTCATTTCACCGTGGATGACGCTGCCCGTTGTCCAGGGATCTTTGGTCGTGCCCTGTTTTTTTGCCAGTTTTGAAATTCCGCCGCAGTTTTCTTTTACCAATCAGCGAACTGCGTGCCACAATTGTAGACTTGATGCCTCTGGATCGTTTACAGATTCATTGCGGCACGGACCGCCGTCGGTATCCGTGGGACCGTCGGCCTAAGAGCTGAAGGCCTCATCCAATATCTAATACTCGAAATATTAAATGATACGAAGCCAAAAGGAATACAAATAGTGTATGTAATGGAAAAGGATTTCTTCCCTTGCGCAAGAAGCACCTGATTGGCGCTCGGTGTATATTTTTTTGTGGTGTTTGGGCTCATCATGTCATGTAATGTTTCCCATAGTTGGTAAAGCCTTTGGTCGAGTAACTTGCCATGAATTTATATTGAAATGCATAGAAACCATGAGCACTATTGCAACGGGGCCCGCGGGATGAGTCTTGGGGAAACTTGCCGCACTCATTGACCTTTTTGGGTGTGTGAAATATTCATTCGTTGTACAGCTTTTTGTGGCAGCAAAAGTTTTGTACCTGGTAGCTATTCCTTCAGAGCAAAAAGCTGCAATCTAGACGAAAAATTCTGCAACGTTTCACGGGTGGGTCGGTAAAGGGCGAGAAAAGTTGCGCGGCGCAAATGGGCGCGACTTCCACCAATTTGCAATAATCCTAGACGCCCTCTCCAGCTTCGATTGGAAGGCACCGTGTTCACCAGTTCTCCACGAACATTAAGCGAGTTTCCTCATAAATGGCATCAGAAAGGAGGTGATGACATGGGCTGTTGGGCAATGCCGAGGTTTGGCGCCGTGAGGCGCCGAATGCGCCGGGAAAAAAGATTGTGCTGACGCACGACCATCAACGGCCGCAAGCGGTTAGTTCAAGCTCGGTATTTTTGACCGCCACGTGTGGGTTTGGTTTAACAGCGATAACTTTCCGAATGACGAAGCAATAGCAATAGCAAGGCCACTCGGTGGGAGGTAGCTCTCTGCTCCATCTTTCATGCCCAAGGTTTGGTGCTGTGGGTTATCATGCGCGTGGGGGAAAACGCTTTGGTTGACCCAAAATACCCACGTCAGAGAGCGGTTCGTACAAGTGCGCGGGGATTATGTGCTCATGGCTTGGTTTCGCAGCGATAACTTTTCGAAGGAGGAGGCAACAACAAAAGCAATGCCACCCCGAGGGAGCTATAATAGCTCAACCCACCATCTTTCTGGTACCAGGTTAGATAGATGCCTTGGGGCATCGTGAGTGTCAAAGACAAAGGTTGCAACTACCCCCTCCCGCACTCTCTGGCCGTTGTTTTCGCGCAGTGTGTTATGAGAGGCGTGTGCCTTCTTCTCGCCGTTGCAAAAAATATATAGATACCGCCTCCGCATTCCGCCAGTGTAGTCCCGTGCACAATAGTTTCTTCGATTTGCAGAATCACTGCCGGTTGCGCTGCCATCGACAATCATGGGGGGGGTTCGTGTACCATTGGCGGTATGTGTGAGGGGCGATTGCCCTTCTGCTGTGCGTGGGCTAGCATGCTCGGCGCACTCGTTAATATACCAAGATCTTGAGTCAACCTTTCTTCTCTGCGCTTCAGACAACAAGCTGCCCGCCTCCAAACATAACGAACGTGTACCACAAGTTCCATTGACCAAAGTTGCAAGAACAGTTGCAGGAAAGGTTTGCAACTTTTCTTACAGCTTTGCGCCGCTTAACTTTTCTGCAATAATTAACCGCATGTTGTGGGATCTGGCTGCGGACAATCGACGTCTGAAAGGGACGAGGCCTCACGTTGGCATCGAATCGTGTTCGGAACTGAGCTCAAGCGCGCCAGCGCCCAACACAACAACCTGCGAAACAAGCCAGAGAGAAATGTAAATGTTAAGCGCCACATCCACCCGCTCGCCTAAGCATCTTCAAGAATTCACGCGAAATGTACGTGCCTACCCTGATTTCTGAGACGAAGCTAAAGATGGGTTTCGATGTTTTCACGTGAGTGAGCCGCGGGTCATCTCCGAAACGACACGCGCACCGGGGGGGGATATCTATGTTATGGTACATGCGAATAGTTTCTCAAGCACTCGGGAACGTCGACGAAGTTGTTGGTGTTGCTGTGACCTGCTGTTGACCTCCTGTGTGCCCCTCAAGGTCAGGGGTCCTCGACCTCACTCAATATATTATGCCAACGCTGGCAGCACGCACAAATAAATGAAGCTGCACGATAGGGTGGACGCCATCCGCTCGCAACCATGTCGAGTCCGACAGTTAGTTTACGTTGTTTAGTCTGCGACTCCTGACACCGAGCACTTTCATCTGTTCCCAGCGAAATTCTGACCAGGGAAAACAATGCCATCACCGAGGGCGCAACCGGCACCTCCAAGGAGAGCAAAGGGAAGTGGGGTAACCTACTCGCGCCTAGGTGCTTTTTGGTGTGGTGGCGCTGGCATTAGTAGTCATGTCGACTGTCTGGGCGTCCGAAGAAGCGCGGGCAGCGGGCTCCTTGGACGGCAACGTGCAATGCGACGCTGATTCTGTACCGGAAGCGTTTCACAGGAGCAAGGTCACCCAAAAAAACTGCGAGGAGCTGGATCCTCTCCTGTCGGGCTCGTCGACGGAGAACTCGTTTTCACTCTACTACGACATCAGTGTTGGCTGCGGGGACCCCAATGTCCCCTCCACTGAAGAAGCAAGCTTCCTGGACCATTGCGGCTGCGATGATCCCGAACCCTACTCCACGACTGTATCCACTCATGTTGAAGGCTGCAGCTGGATCGGGGCTGAGTTCACGGACATCCCTGAGTTGAGCGGCTATTGTTTTGCGGTTGCGATTAGTCGCGTATCTTTTGGTGACGAAGATTCTGAAGATTTATTGGAATATTTCAACCCGTTCGAACGATATGACTGCTGGCCAAAGGTCGCGTCGGGAACCGCCACGATAACTATCTTCGCTTTCGTGATGACCCTGGTCACTCATGTCGCAGAAGGCTTCGTCGTTCGGCAAAAAGTCAGGTATCCCGACAAAGGACCCAGCTTGAGAGTGGAGATTGGTGCGTCAGTTGTCGAGGCCGTTGGAGTTGTGGCAATTTTCTGGGTACTGTCAAGTTTCACCAGCTATCGAGACAACAGCAACAATCACGACAGCGCTTTGGTCTTAGAAGGGCTTGCGTTGTTTGCCGTGGCTTGTGCAGTCTTGGGCCTTCTTGCCGTGGTACTTGCGGGGTACGGTAAGCTCAAGCCTGGTGAAATCAAAGTCTTCGGTCATGTGCTTCCCCAAGGCGACAGATCCAGCAAACCCGTTTTTCAGTGCTTGGGAGAGTTCGGCAGCGCAACAATATGGTTGGGTTGGTTGGGTTCCGGCTTGTTGGAAGTGGTCGTCACAATTTGGCTAGTATGGAAAGGGGAAGGAATAGTCCGCTCGTCCTCAGTCCACTCTTCGTTTACAGACTCTGGAGATGAGGGTGACTTGAGCGCCACACTGCTGTCGTCTTAGGTCGCCTTGGAAGTCCTCGCCCTGTTGGCCCAATCGGCCGCAAAATATTTGTGGGCTACTATGTGGAAAAGAGCAAAGAGGATTCCGTCCTCGACAGAGGTTGGGGAGTTTCAACCTTTTATGAAGGTGGTCTCCACATTACCCCCCCCTTTTTCGAGGCTTCTTGTTTGCTAGGCAAGAGAAGTCTTCTTGGGGTAACCGGAACCCGACCGGCTGGCGGCGAGTAGAACCACCTTTTATTCCAACAATCTTCTGTGCGTGTGTGCGGGTTCGCCACTTCCGCCACGCATTGCCAGAAGTTTCGAGTTCGATAGACAGTGCATCGTTTCTTGGCCCACCCACCGTTTTTCTTTTTCCTTATTACTCCGGAAGAAAATTAGGTGAGCAGCGGGTTTTGAACCCGTGCCTTTTGCAACCAAAAGCAGACACCTGACATCTCTTCGTCGACGCCAATATGGATGCCCTCTACTCTGGGTGAGCGGAGAGTCCGGGATCGTGGTGGCTATGTGCTGCCACCGGAGGTTGGCTATTTCCTTTGGTGCAATGTGGCGAGGAATGCCAAGCGTGACCGAGCGAACTCAGTCCAGCTAGGGTGGTGCGGAGAGTGGGCGAGCCTTGGTGGACTCCTTTTCCCATTTTCCGAAAGATCCATCAACTCTTCGCAGCCGTTGGGGGTCATAAGAGTTGGGGACCCTCGGAGAACAGTAATCTATTAGTCTATCACTTGTTCCCTCAGATCCTACTCTGTACGTGTATCTGTGCTCCCTGAATAATCTCCATATCCTGACCTCCACAGCTACCAAAAAATGTTCGAATGCAAGTGGATCAAGTTCAATGGCCCGTACCAATTCCAGGCGGATCATTTTGAGGACTCAGCAGCAGTCCTTACGAATATCGGGTGTTGATTGCTGTACACTCGCGTCGTTTGGGATGGTACAATTTCTCAAAGATCACGTGGTGATCAGTTGGATTGATTGTGTGTTTCGTCCGAGTTGTAGACCAAAAATCGTCGCGCCCAGGGGTAATATCACAACGCTGTCTTCTTCGTCGGCGGTAGATTTCCGATATCTAAATGACATGAGTGCAGAGTGATGCACAAAGTTGTTTGGGGTTTGTTTTCATGGGTTTCGTAATAATACCAGCGTATGCTACAAGAATCGGGATGGACATTATCTTGGGGACGACGTTGCCGTCATCAGGGATAGTTTGCAGCAGGGAGTGCGGAAGATTCCGCGGCAATTTGTTGAGGGTTCATGCTTGAGTTCACGAAACGTCCACAGTTCTAAGAAAACGATGGCCCACTCAGCATTCTGCGGAAAATCGTTCATTCTTGATGCCCACCGTACATTCTGCATCGAGGACATATTTCGGGTGTGGGGCACGTTTCACAGACTCCACGAGACCGATAGTCAAATGTCGTGGTCTGGTTGCTGCTGCTGTGATTTCGTTCGTACGTGAGGATGCGTTGTTGTTGTCTACTTCGTTCAGCAAGCAGTGTTCGACCGTTTTGGTAATGCGACCTTTTTTTCCCGTCAATCTGACGATCGGTTTGTTTCCGTCTGGTACGTTGTTTTTTCGTTCGGGTCCCTCTGCCGTTCGCGTGGTCGAGTTTCCCCTGACTCCCTGCGGCAGTTTATTTTTGTCGACCTTTAGCTAGTTGGGGTCACGACCCCTTTGTTTTCGTTGTCGACGCGTTTGGTTCTTCCTTACCTTTGTTGGTGCGTAGTGAGTGGTGCTTCTGCATCTCCCTTGGGTATGTTTGTAGTTCGTCTATTCGGGCTAGCCGCTGCATGTTTTGTCACTGCTTCTCGTTTTCGACGGTGTTGAGTAGCTTGGTGCGCCCGGCGCAGTTGTAGACGGCAAAAATAAAAGAACCGCGCGGCGAGTTTGCCGGCAACAATAAAAAATACAGTAAACTGCCCGCGGATGTGGTAACCCGCCGCATCTGTGATGTTCCGGAGCGTGATGGCTCTGATGTGTTGAAGCTGGTGCTATGATAGCTGTTGTGATGGCGTGATAGCCTAGAGGCGTTACAGCCTGGCAGCGTGATAGCCGGTGGATATGTGTGGACACGGGCGTGATAGCCCAGAGCGTGATAGCCGGGAAAAGGAAGATGAAAAATTATCCAAGTGCACGTGGTCAACACCGTTGCAGACACGTATAATACCCAGGAAACAACAATATGTGGCAAAGATGGTACCACCATTCCCCCAATATACCACAACTGCGGAACCCCAAAAGTTCCCCGCTCCATCTTCTCGGAACGTTCCTCGGTTGCAATAATCTGTCAATGCTGTGAGTACATCCAACAGACGGCACAGACAGATTGCTTCGCGTTTCTCGTCGTTTTGTTGATACGGTTGGTTGGTTCTCGTCGTGCCGACGACGTTTGTTTTTCTTGCGTTTTTTTCATGCCTTCTCTGGGACGCCTGTGATGATGATGGTACTTGAGGCGTTGACGGCTTTCTTCTGCTATTTCTTGTCCACTATTCTTCTCTGTGTTCGTTGCCCCCGTTTTTGCCTTTTTCCTGCCTTTTCTGAGTTGAGTCAAACGATAGGATCTCGCGGCTTATCATGTGAGAGGTGTGGGAGGGAGATTTATTTTTGGTTTTTTGGAGCTCCGCATCCTTGATCCTCTCATGTTGGGATTTGAGATACTTGTATCTACGTATGTATGAGAACACCCAAGGTCGGCTAGTGTTGCTATGGGATTTTTATTGTAGCCAGTTTCAACAGTGTTTCAGAAAAATCGCCTGAGGGAGAGTACGGGAAACGTTACTCCCGAGTGAAGGATAAAACAAGAGGGACAGGACCTTTTTGACCCCTATTTATGGGAGCATGTTTCCCCCTCTGTGCTCAGTCTACCTTTGAGAGCAAGGCAACAGCAAGTACTGCTGTTCCAAGAGATATATGAAATAGTGAGGCTAGTCGTCATCAGGCAGGGTCTTCTGGGGTCGCGAGACGTACGTCGTGTAATCCCACAATTTTTTCGTGTCACTACGCGTTCTTGAAAGCTTGTTATTTTCAAGGAGGATCAACGTTTGTTTCATGCGTCGGTTGTTGCATAATGCGATTCCTTCTGAAGATAGATGCGCCCAGGTCATCGCCGGTTGATGACGAACAACAACATATTCGCACGATTGAGAGCGAATAATCTGATTGAGAGCGAGATCGTGCGATACGATGTAGCTTGTCGACTGCTGAGAGGTAGAGCTTGCTGTGCGGCTTGAATTGAAGGGCTTGCCCATAGCTACAAGCCGATACCCGGGTCATCCTGCGGGTTGTTAGATATACTCGCAGCAGTCACTAGACGTGAGGATCCTCGGGGATACGTGTTGGGAAATTCGTATGTTGATGGGTACCACCGATGCAGATACGGGGACCCTTTTGGCCTTGGTTGCGGTGTTGAAGGCTCGCGCATCTAGCACACTGCTTTCGCTCTCTCCACCGCTACCGCCGTCTCTCTCCAGTCAAGTTTCCTTCTCCAACGCTTTCTCCAACGCCAACGCCATCTCTATCTNATCTCTATCTCTCCCTCTCTCTCTCGGCCTAACACGGCCGACTACCCACTGCCCCAAGAGACGCCCAACACGGGCTTGCTGCACCCCGCGTAGTTCACCTTTCACACTACTAGTGCGAATCAGATTCAGATTCTGCGCGCGGTCGTAGTACACCGGGGGGTTGTGCATTCACGCGCAATCGGTAGACTCCCACAACAAAAACATCATGCCTACCTCGGAGGATTCCGAAATCGACCTCTCCACCCTCAGCAAAGAAGAGCTGCAACAAGAAGTTCAACGAAGGGTGGACGCCCAACTTGCGAAGGAGAGAGCAGAAATCGCCCCACTGCCAGCAGAACAGCAGTCACCTACCACCGGCGAGCAGTCGCTACGTCCCACACCAGCCGACATACCGCCCACCGGCAACCAGCCTTCACCCTCCAGCCAGGGATCCCAATCATTCAACAATTACACCAACGTCGCCAACATCGTGGCGTAAGCAGTCAACGCGACAGCCGAGGCCATGTCTGGACATAAGGGCTTTGCCCACACAGGCACGTTTCGTGTCAACCCCGGCTCTGACATAGACCCTTGGCTTGGAAGTGTGAAGAAAGAGCAGGATTTGTATATTATGTTTGATGTTTTTCGCAGTAAGATGGTGTCGTATTTTCAGGAAGAGGGTGTATATGATGTATTAGGGATCACTGATGTCAAGGTTGGCAAGAGGGGTGTGGATCTAGCAGAGCTAAGGGGCATCTTCGGGACTGATGTGGTGGACAAGTCGTTGAAGTTGTGGAATATTATCATCAGCAAGATTCTATACCCTCCGATCCAGAACTTGATCATGGCATGTGAGAGTCCCCAGCAGGGGTGGAAGATCGTCACGAATTTCTACCAAGAGAAGAAGGAGTCTGAGAAGACTAGGCTTGAGCAAGAGTGGTTGGCGTTAGAAATGCGTGAGTCGGAGAACCCACAGGATTACATAGCAAGGTCGGAAGCTCTTCGATTACGTCTTGCCTCAGTAGGAACTATCAAAGACACAACACATGCTTACAAGGACGTTGTGCGCGGCCTTCCCCCATCGTATGCCGTGCAAAAAGGAATATTGCTAGCAAGCGATGTCGTGACTTTGCATGCCCTTGAGACTGTGGTGAGGGACGCCCACATGGAGATGGAGCGCGAGAGGAGCAAGGAGCAGAGGCGAGAGGCGGAGCTCGCCCTCGTCGCGTCCGGTGCGAGCCGGAGCGGCGGGGGCAATGGGGGGGCATCCGGGGGACAAGGAGTAGTCGACGGTCAAGACCGTGAAATCCGTGATGGCGAGAGAAACCGTGACGTGTTCGTCGAAGATCCCACCGGTTTTTGCCGCTACCACCAGTCCGAACTACACACGAACGGGCAATGCCGTTACCAGCAGCATCTGCGGCGGACTCGCACGAGAGCAGCCGCCGAGGATCGCCACGGAGGTGGCGGCGGAGGCCGTGGCGGCGGCTGGAGCCAGCGAGGAGGAAGACCGCCGTCGGGAGCCGGCCGGGGTGGCGGGCGTTGGGTGAGAGTTGAAGGGCAGCAGCACCACACCGGTCATGGTGGCGGTGGCTGGAGCCAAGCCTCACCCCCCCCGCGACCTCTTCGTGGACGTGGACCTGGTGGTCGTCTGGGGCGGCACCCGGGGGGTCGAGGGCCCTCGGGACGCCACAGCAGCGACGGGCGTGCCGAGAGAGAGCGGGCAGGGAGAGGCCCGGGGCACGCGCGTTCTGGCCACGGAAGAGAGCAGGCGTACGTTGTGTACTACGCCCACGATGATGGTGGCTACTATGAAGACTATGGCGACTACGACGACGGCTACTACTACGACGGCGGCTACCACGACGCCGGGTACGCCCACTACGCCGGCGGTGGAGACAGCTACAGCTACCCCTCAGGGTACGAAGACAGCCGTTCATCTGACGGCGGCATCCACTACGTCTACTACCCTCCCGCCGGCGAAGATTCGTCATCCGAGCAGCAACGTCAGCCCCCCCCCGCGAGCGCTTCCTCCTCGTCCTCTACTCCTTCTCCTGGCGCGCCTCCATCTTCGGGCTACCTCCACCTCTGCACGGCACAATCGGTGCCCCTAGGCAAGTCTCACCCTGACGATTTTTTCAGTAGGATAGGAGTGACGATAGGAGTAGAGTCTGCTTCTAGTGCTTCGTCTTTGCTGAGTGTGAAATCTAGTGAGGGGCCGCCTGGTAGCGAGAGATGGGTAGCTGACTCAGGAGCCAGCAACAGTTTCACCAACAGTGACTTGCACATGTACGACTTGCAGGAGATACCCTCGAATAGGCAGTATGTCATTGTAGGAGATGGTCGTCTGCTGAAGGTGAAAGCAATCGGTAGCATCAACCTCAGCTTTTTCCAGGAAGGTGAAAACGGTGTGCCAACGACGATGTATGTGAAGCTGACTGACGTGTCTGTGGTCGAGAGTCTGAGTTTCAACTTGTTTTCGACGCATGCTGTTTCCCTTCGGCAACGAATAATCCATGACGAGCGTGGTGTGACCCTGCGTAACGGACTGCTGTTTGCTAGAGAGGAGAAAGCTTCTGCCGCCTATGCAATGCGCATGCCTTACGACCCGTCTGCGATTGTGGTAGACTCTGCTGCCTTGCCTGCCTTCGTGAGATCCCCCGTTACCACCCCCGCCGTTGGCTCCACGCGTTCCTCTTCCCAAAAAGGGGGCTCCGCGGAATCATTGGTGTCCGTATTGCGTGTTCCTTCCGCAGGCTCTGCTACCGTAGTACCTTCGAGTGAGAGCGTCCCGCCCACTGGTCCAACCAGTGTAGTACCTGCGAGTGAGAGCGTCCCGCCCGCCGGCTATGCCGACGTAGTACCTTCTTCGGCTTCCGGTTTTGAGTGTGTGGGTACTTTCCCGGGTATGGATCTTGGAGATACGAGTGTGCTCACCGACGAGCAGCTCATGGATGGCTATGATGACACCCCATATCAAGATTTTTTCCCCGTATTTATCCCAGAGAGTGACGCTGCGAATGTGGCTGGTGTTTTGGATAGCATTGACGGAGGTTCTGATTTTGACTTGGGTGCGGCCGCGCTTGGCCCTGGTGCGTCCCCGTTCACTCTTGGATCGACCGAAAAGTCCGTTGACATCAACCGCTTCCACCGCTCCCTTGCCCACGCTTGCGAGCCTCTTTTGAGAGAAACTGCCCAGCAGAGAGGCATCGTGCTCACCGGCAAGCTGGAACCGTGCACGGACTGCATGAAGGCGAAGGGCAGGCGAGCGTCGGTGCCGCGGGGGCCGGGAGCGAGGGCGTCCAAGCCTCTCGGGCGTGTTCACCTGGACCTGTGTGGACCGCTGGTGCCTTCCCTGGGCGGCAACCTCTACCTGTTCGTCGCCGTGGACAGCGCCTCGCGGTGGAACAAAGTCTACGGTCTCCGGCGGAAGTCCGACGCGCTGGCGGCAACGAAAAGGCTGCTGGCGGACGTGGGGCGGTACGACCTCGGACGAATCGAATGTTTCCGCGTCGACAACGGCACCGAGTGGACCCGCGGCGATTTCCGGCGCTTCTGCGACGACAACGGCATCGGCGTCGAGTTCACCCCGCCCGGCGTCCCGCAGTACAACGGCGTCGTCGAGAGCGCCATCTGGCGGATCATGAAGGCCGGCATGGCCGCCCGCCGCAGCGCTGGCCGTGTGTTCCACGTCGACTTCGCCTCCATCCCCGGCCTCGACGAGCGTGGTGACCGTCTTTGGATGGAATCGGCGAAGTGGGCCGCCGACGCTCTCAACCAGTCGGCGACCAAGGCCAACCCCGGGCGGCGCTCGCCGCACGAGATGTTCACCGGCGAGCAGGGGCCGTTCCGCGTGCTGCCGTTCTTCCAGCCCGGCTTCATGCGCGAGGACCGCCGCACCAAGCTCGACGACCAGGCCACGCTCTGTTACTACCTGAACGGCGGCGACAACCACCCGAGCGGCACCGTCAAGGTCCTCAAGGCGTCCACCGGCCGCGTCGTCTACACCAACAACGTGTCGTGGGTGACGTCGGCGCCAGCCGGCGAGGGGGGTTCCGCTGGTATCACCGCTGCGCCGACACCCCCCCCGTTCACGCCGCCGGTCGTCTCGATCAACTTTGGCCCAGCACCGACGCCTTCGACCGCCACACCGCCACCGCCAGCGCCCACGCCGTCGCCCGCTCCCGCTCCCGCTGCCTCTTCGACTCCTGCCGCAACGCCGCCGCCAGCGACCACGCCGCCGCCCGCTCCCACGACTTCACAGCCGCCCTCTGCCACTTCGCCGTCACCGTCGGCGACCCCCGCTCCTGGCAATCCGTCCTCTGCCTCTCCGCCGTCACCGTCGGCGACCCCCGATCCATACCAGCCGCCGCCGCCGCCGGACCCCGCGATGCCCCCGCTTACGGCTCACGCCATGCGGCAGCTTCGCCCGGGTACAAAGGCCGAGGGTATGACAGACCCGCGGCTGCCAAGCCGTACGAGATCGGGCACGAGGCACAGCACAGGACTCATCTCGATGCTAGACAGGAACACTCTGGTGTCGATGCTGGAGGCTCGGAGCGCGGTGGATAAGGAGCGCAGGGAGCTGGGGGGGACGGGGGCCGGAGAGCCGGGGGGAACGGGGGCCGGAGAGCAGGCGGGAGCACTCGCAGCAGTGGACCCGGGGGCTGCAGGAGCGGGCTTTCCACTCGCATTTGCCACGCTCCTCGCCAACCGGGAAGACATCGACGCCACGCTGCGAGACCAGCGCCCGCCGGAGCAACGCCCTGACCTTCCGCATTGCCAGGCCAGCGACCTTCGTGTCCCCAAGAGCTACAAAGAGGCCATGGCGTCGGAGCACCGGCACCTTTGGAGCGACTCTATGCAAAGGGAGTTTTATGGCTTGTTGGAAGCGGGGACTTTTACTCCGGCGAAGTAGCAACTAGTGGAGAACGCAATTAACGCTAAGTGGGTATTCGATTGGAAGGCAGATGAGTTTGGATGGCCCACTAAGGTTAAGTCGAGACTTGTAGCGAGAGGTGATATGCAGAGAGAGTACATTGACTTTGGAGAGTTGTACGCGCCTACCGTTTCTGTTTCATGTGTTAGGATGTTGGCTGCTTTGGCGTGCGAGTTGAACCTCGACTTGTGTCATTTCGATGTTGAGCAAGCTTTTGTGCGTTCGGAGTTGGAGGAAGACGTGTACATGCGTTTGCCGCAGGGATGTGGAGCTCTATCAGGAATGATTGTAAAACTAGGCAAGAGTCTGTATGGCTTAAGACAGGCATCTAGGCAGTGGCATGCAATGCTGAAGAGGTGTTTGGTGGCGTTAGGATTTGAGCAGTGCATGGCCGATGCTTGTGTGTTTCGTTTGATTGAGGATGGATGTGTTGTTTTGATTTTGGTTGTACATGTAGATGACATCTTTGCTGTTGGAGAGAGGGAGAGATGTGATAAGTTTGGCGCTGACCTTAACAAGTCCGTGCCAGTGAAGAACCTGGGAGAGTTGAGATGGTATTCTGGGTGCTTTTACGAGAGGAATAAGGAGACCGGTAGGTTGACGATTTCTCAGCAGACTTTCACGGACGAGCTAGCAGCAGAATATGGAGTAGTGGGAGGTAGGAGCGTTCCGATGTCTTCGGGTGTGAAGCTTTCTGATTTTGATGCGGATGAGGTGGCGACAGAGTTTCCGTTTCGTGAGCTGGTAGGATCGTTGATGTGGCTGGCGACTCAGACTAGACCAGACATTGCGAATGCAGTAAGGGCAGTAGCTAGGTATTGCGCATCTCCGAAGCTGGTACACTGGAATGCAGCGATGGATATTTTGGGCTATGCGAGGAGGACGAGTCACTTTGGTATTTCGTTTCAGAGAGGTACGGTAGAGGGATTCAGCTTGCAGGGATACGCTGATGCGGACTTTGCAAGCAAGGCAGCAGACCGTAGGTCGGTATCAGGGGGGATCGTGACGTGTGGAGGAGGCGCTGTGTCTTGGTTTTCCAGAACGCAAAAATGCGTCACGCTTTCGACGACAGAAGCAGAGTACGTCGCGCTAGGCGACGTAGTGAAGGAGATTTTGTTTTTGAGGCAGATTTGGCGTTTCATGTTGCCGCAGGTCGGCATGCCGTGCATCCCCGTCTTCGAGGACAACCAGGGGGCGATTCAACTAGCGCAGAACCCCATCTCGAACTCGAACTCGAAGCACATTGATGTAAGGCACCATTTTCTCAGGGAACTGTTAGAGAGGAAGGAAATTTCGGTGATTCACGTGCCGTCTCCGCGTACCAGCGTGCAGACTTTCTTACGAAAAGTTTGCCCAAGGATGCGTTCGAGTCTCACCGTGATTTTGTGATGAATTTGGCATGAGTTTTTACTATTTTTCTGATGAGTTTGGTTTAGCTTTCGATTTGATTGTTTTGCTTTCCGCGCTAAGTTTATATCACANTGAGAGCGAGATCGTGCGATACGATGTAGCTTGTCTACTGCTGAGAGGTAGAGCTTGCTGTGCGGCTTGAATTGAAGGGCTTGCCCATAGCTACAAGCCGATACCCGGGTCATCCTGCGGGTGTCTCGCGTTGTGGAGCTACACCGCGGAGCAGAAGCTACGGGAGGGCCTACCGCGCCAGGCGACGGCGCCCTGAAACAGTTTCGGGCAGGAATAGCCAATCTGGGGAAATCTAGCAACGTGCGTAGCTCCTCGCTGCTGCAGCCGATCGCAGTGACACGCATATGCACGCGAAGCTGCTGAAGAGAGCTTCAATTTGCGCCGCTTTTTGGAAGAGCCCGTCCCTGCTGCCCGAGAAATGACGGGAGGCGTCTGGACCCGAATTTCGATTCTTTTTGGTTCTCGCTCTCAATCGGAAACTTCGCTCTCAATCGTGCGAAAACCCTGTTGAACATATATATGTCGTCGTTCTCGTCAGTACAAAAGGAATGAATGAATGCAGTCAATTTCAATGTAACTATGGTAATGTTGTAAATGTAGTAATTAGTAGTTTTGTTTTGCAAAGGACCATACACACAGGCATGTCATAATGAATGGCAGCGTGGGACAAAGCCTTACGGCCTGGATTCAAATCTCTTCGAAGGTGACAAGCGTGCATTCATGTGCGTCAAAATTCGCGCTGACACAGACAGACGAAGGCCAAAATCGCAGCAACCGTTTCTTCTGCTGTGTCCGCGACTTGGCGAAAACACCATAAACAAGCAGAGATCGTGCACGAAACCCGTACGCATGATGTTCATTCATTGCAGTATTCATTTGCAAGGGGGGCGCGGGTATCTGTTGTGTTCGTTCAATATTCGCAACCTCTTCCCAGCCTACATACGGCGGGGGAGTGAGCACGGCAGAGGGTGCCTGCCACGGGCTATCGGGCTGGGAGAGACATCATACATGCGGCCGCAAAAAAGTAGGTTTGTTGCCTGATGAAACCTGACCTGCTTGTACTTGTTTCCACGGCGAGTTTCAAGCTGATGTATCTGTGCCGGGTACGGATTCGACATGCACGATTGGGAGCAAGTCGTGCGGTCACCTGCCACTTTACTACTCTCGAAAAACAGAGGGTCGACCATATTCACATATTCATTCGTAGATATGTATCTTCATACGTACACAGACAGCATAAACCCACCGCCAATGGCGCGGTCGAGATCAGGTGGACGTTTGATACACTGGGCGTTTGTCCGCCCCAGGTTGTTGACTCTCCTCAGCAGACATTCTGTCTTAAAGAAGTCTACATAGAAAGATTGCCGTGTTCCCACGGCTGCTTCTTTGTTACTTCAAGTAGTTGCCGTTGTGTCCTTGTGTACGATGGCGTCACACGAAGAAAGGCACTACCACTATGTGCTGAGGAGGACTACTACTGGAGAAGCAGAGGAAGACTCGGTTCAGGTAAGTTTAGTGTGCCGTTTGTCTTGTAACGATGGCTGCGTCACGCGAGCGTGCATGAGAAAGAAGGTGGTACATCACTGACACTCATGGGAAGATGGCCAAGTCAGGAGAAAAAATCTACATTTACACCCAATAGGTAATTCGAACCACTATTTACCGTGCTGCTGACGCCATGAGTGAAGAAGGTGTACCGATTCTGGTAGAAAAGTGACCACTCTCCGGCGCATTTTTCACTTGATTTAAGAATCGATTCCGGTCTCATTTTTCACTCGAATAAAGTGTCGAAAATTCGGACAATATATATTTTTTTGCTTTTTGCGAGGAGTGGGCTGGCTAAAATCCCAATTATTTGCAATCGGGGAATAGCAATACCACCATGGTTTCAGGGACCGGCTTGTCCTTTGGGTAGAAATGATGCGAAGGAAGTGCGGCGGTTCCAAGATTGACAGCTTCGAACTTGTAGATAGCAAAATGAATCCTGGCGTCAGCGGGACCTACCTGTACGATTTTCCGAGCAGCATACATTGATAGATACAGGATATCTCCCGTCCGTATTATTGCTGGTAGCAGACTCAAGAAGACAGTTTGCACGGTAGCCAGCCGCCGTATGTATCTCCTTTGTATGCTGGGAAGGTCAACTTATTGTTGGGATGTGGTTTCGTTTTTTTCGGCTGTGAGTGGTACATGCGGCACCCTCCCTTGTGGAATCATTTGTGGAACAAACATCTCGGAATGAGTGCATCGGAGGGCACGGGAGAACATTTGACCTCCCTCCATTTGGTCCCGGCCTTGCCGGATCACTCACATCCCTTTTAATGACTAAGAAGCAGCGGCCATCGGAGGATACTAATTTTTTGGGGGAATGAAAAGCTGTGAGTTTCGCATGCAGCATGCATGTAGTTTGTCTGCAGCAGCAGTCTAGACTAGTCAACATTTTCTCTTTCTTGATTCATTTGTATTTTTCTTCGGCGGAGAAAACAACATGTAACATCGCTAGGCCACAGAAGGCGTGGTGGGTGAAAGGCGTTGGGGTTATATTGATTACACGTTCTCTGTGAAGTACCAAGTTCAAGCAGTGGAGGAATTGTCTAACCACTCCCTCGGGCCTGTGATTTTCCAGCTCATTCCTCTTGCCTCACAAAGCATGATCTGGAGGGGAGCGGAGTGACTCAGCTCATCAGTTGAATATAATTGGCTTGCGGACCTCTCGGGTCGATTGCAGTTTAAGCTTTTATCTTTATTTATTTATTTTTGCCTTCCGACAACTGCAGATGTACCTGCTTTTATCTTTCATTTTAAGTACGTTCGCGTTGAACCTCGTTGAACCTCGAAGGGGTGGTGGCATGTTGAGGGGGTCGCTAAATCGCAAATCCTTCAGGGACCGCAATGCTTCTATGTGGCTCTTAAGCCTACTTCCCATCAACGCAAGGCCAGGTAACACGTAGTAACTACCAAGGAACCCCAGCATCGTCTACAAAAAAAACGCTCCCCTGTGCATGAGACCCCCCCGGTGTTTGCCATCGGGGTTGGGTTTTCGTCCCTTGGCAACGACGTTGTAAAACAAGCCAATTCACTTCGTGAGCTCGGCAACCAGGTTACCGTTTTTTTTTTTACCTCCGTTTTTTTTTTGGCGGTAACCATAATGGTGGTCGAGTAGATCATGTTGTGCGGGGTGGAGAACCCTCACTCCGCGCAAGGGGGATGATCGCACCACGTTGTGTTAAAATGGTCAAGCACCCACAGTGCTTACAACTGTCTTGTACAA